TGATGCTTTTGAAGTTCGAACAGGTTTGAGGCAGGGAGATGGACTCTCACCAATGCTGTTCAACTTAGCCCTTGATAAAATAATAAGAACAACATCATACGAAGATGGAGGCGTGCACATCGGAATGAAATATAACATCTTAGCATATGCGGATGATAAAGCTGTCCTTGGAAGCAATCAAGAGGATATTGAGAGACTCACTCGGACTCTGTTAAGAGAAGCAGGGCAAATCAGGCTACAAGTAAATGAAGATAAAACAAAATATACGATAATTAGCCAAAAAATCCACCCTAATAATATGATCTGCATGGACTCTAAGTAATTCCCGAAGTAGGTAGATTCAAATACCTCGGTTCCACAATAACCTCAATAAATGATCAATTAACAGAGATAGAACAGCTAATAATGAATGCGAACAGAGCTTCCTTCACACTTTCAAGGGTACTGAAATCCAGAAAAATCACCAGAAATCTCAAACTAAGGGTGATCAATGCTGTGATAAAGCCAGTTCTGCTGTACTGCTGTGAAACCTATGCTCTAACAGGCATCCTAGAAAGCAGAATTGAGAGATTTGAAAGAAAAGTCCTCCATACGATAACAGGACCTATCTGGGATCAGAACTTTAACGCATGGAGGAGAAGGAACAATAAACAACTGCTAAAAGAAACTGGTCAATCAATATCACATGATATGAAGGCAAGGAGGTTAAGATGGGCGGGGCATGTAACTCGAAGCAATCCATTAGGACGCCTTTACACAACAATGCCAGAGTAGTATGCAAGAGATCACGTGGGAGGACAAAAACCAGATGGATAGATAGGATAAACAAAGATAAGGCTGAGCTTCATGCCGTTAACTGGAAAGCAGTAGCCCAAGACAGGCAGAGGTGAAGAAGGCTGCTTCAGGGGACCAAAGATTTACAAGGTATGTAGAGCCAACAGGGAAAAAAAAAATGAAGATCCTGCTTATATCCATAAGTACATTGAATGAATACACTGAATCATCTAGTACATATATTTGATAGAAGAATGATTTGTTATGTACGTGTACCGATTGGAAAGCCAAAAATACCATTATCAAAAAAAGTAGCATACTTCAGATAAAAATATTATGGAGTAGAGCATATGAACTCTGACATTCAAGCCCAGGTTCAAGTCTAGCCACAGTAGAAAATTAATTTTTTGTATTATCAACCATATATATCTCTAAGGGTTTACCTGAAACTTAAAGGGGTTGAGATGGAAACATGGAAGTTGAATGTCAATGCAGACCACAACACTATACAGTTGATCAAAACATAGGTATTGTTTCCTTATCATGTACTAATCACAATACTTGCATGAGTTCTAGAGGTGAAAGTTTTTTCATTTGAAAATATTGTGAAAATAACACACCGCTTTACATGGCAAATAAGATCAAATATTCATTCTTAAGTACACCAACCATTTAAATACATAAATATTACAAGAGCTCACATGATAAATTGCAAGAATATACTAATATACTTGAACAAAAAAAGGCCACATAATTTGAAAATCTGTAAAGGGAACAAATGGGAGATCTTGACCAAAAAAAATGTTTAAAGCCAGAAGAATGAATCATTAGGGAGTATTTTCATCATGTCCAAGATCAGTATAGTACATTCACTGATTGTAAACTATTGATATACTTTACAGTAATAAATATATTAATTACCTTCACAAAACAAAATAAATTGTTTAATCAAATCTAGTTGATTGATTATTTATAAAACTAGTGATTGAAATTTAGTTTTATTAAAAATACTTTCTATTAAGTTAATATGTACCACAGAATAATTTTTAAGTCAGGATTTAAACTGGGACGGTTCAATATTGGGAGTCTTGTTCTGCATAAAAATGGCTCATATATTAAAATATGATGAAGGGAATCGGGAAAAAGAACATTTCATATTGAACATTAAATTAAATCTATTCTTCAAAATAATAGAGGTATGGCCTACCAAAGAAAATAGTGCAGTATGGAGTAAAGAGTTGTATGCTGGTCAACCACACTCATTTCCTAACAACCTTCAATTCTGGTTTTGTGACAGGATCAATACTTTTTCAAGTTGCTATTCAGTTATCCTCATAGGCTGAGAGCACACCATTCCAGACCTAACACCATCAGAAAAAATCCTTATGGATTATTGGGAATTGAACCTGTGTCTTCTTGCCGTCAATGCCAAAAACACTAAACCACAAAGAAAGTATTAACAAAAATAAAATAATAGAAATATACATGTATGATTCATCACTTTATATATATTTTAGTCATTCAATATAAATCCATTTAAAGCCAGGATCTAATGGGAAAAATATTGATCACAATTGTAGATTTTTTTAGTCGGATAATACAATAAAATGAAAATAGACTATTATTACATATCTTCCAAACATTCATGCAAAATAAGCATTATAAATTGGCACACATATGCAATAGATAGATATTCATAAATTTAATATGATGGCCATTGTATAAAACATTTGATTATTTCTCTATTTTAAATTGCTTATCAATGACCAAAATTCTAAAGGGGCGAAAGAGTAATCTAATACAGTAAAACACACTAAAAAAGTCTCATTTTATATCTCGAGTTTAGAAAGAGATATTGGCATGGTTCTTCTAACAAAGCATTTGTTTTTCAGAGTAATTAAAAGGAATCATACAAACATTAAAAAGTAATTAGTCAGATAAATTTTAAAAAATGTCTAAGTTATAAAATAAAGTAGCCTACTGATCTGTAGATGAAACATTTTGGGAGTTGTCAACAGGGAGGTCAACTATACCTGTGATATTCATCAATTATGCCTTTTATTATGCCTTTTATTTATCAATTATGCCTTTTAATATCAATTATGATATTTTATCAACTATGCCTGTGATATGATATGCTAATGATAATATTGTCTTAATTAAGGAAAAGTTCCGAAGACAAATTCTGAAAGGCTCGAAGTATCAATGGATCTTATGAAAAAATGGTGTCTGTAAGATGAATAAGATAAATTTTATGTCTTCACTAACAGAAGATGCATAATAATCAGACTGTACTCTTGACAACATCTATAGTAAAGTTAAGCATCTAGATAATATCTTCGATGACAAGTTTCTATAGGCAAAGCCATATTGAAAAGAGCCAAGGGAAATCCTGGAGTTTAAAACCTGGCATGTTGTGTTTTATAACAACTGGCACCATGAGCACCATTCCTATTGCTGCTATGGAAGTTATTTTGAACTTAACACCACTGCACCTAGAAGTAGAAACGCAAGCTCTCAGTACTGTGTAGATACTTGCAATTTAGAAAGAAGGCCAAATTGATTATTTATCAGGGACATGGTATCATGATTTTTTCCCCAAGAGTTGATATGAAAATGTGATTAGTGATTTTAATGCTCAAGTAGGAAATTAATCTACATTCCAGCAACTATTGGGAAGTACAGCATCCACAATGTGACTAATGACAATGGTTTTAGAATGATTAACTTTTCGGCTTTTAAAGGCCTGATAGTTGGAAGCACAGTTCTATTGAGAGTTCTGATGGCCCCCTACAGGTTCTAAAAATTATTATAACGAACCATAATCCTAAAGTTGACAGGAAAGATATAAGGCTCGCAATTTGGAAGAAATTGAATTTTTGAAAAGCAGCAAAAGTGATTTGGGTGCTCATCCCTCTGATACTTGAGGTCTTCTTCCTTTCTTAACCTATTCCTCATCCACTGAGTCATTTTTTCCTCAGTCATTTTTTTGAGTTTTGCTAGTTCTCTAAGAAGTTCCAACAAATATCTTAATGAAATTCTGCCATAAAACTTATACAAATCGTTGTACAAATAGTGAAATTAGTTTCCCAAAACTTTACATAGTATTTTCAGCCGTTTAAACAACAGAACTGTTCCTAACAAATATAAGGAACTCTAGAACTCTTAAGGAGGCAGATCTCCAAGATTTATTTTTTTAAATTAATGACGGGGACCAACTTCACAAATGTATAGTCAGTACGTAGTGAGAGCGCTGAGACCAAAGATCATCAGTGAGTTTGTATATAATATGGAGTGAGTCTGTCATAGAATCATTTAGTCTGTGGTTAGTTCATATTCAGTCTCTCTCAAGTGTTTTATAGTGTATGTGAATTTATTTTATATGTTTTATATATGTATATTGTAGAGTAATCATGTCTATTGTATTATTATTAAATTATCAGACCTCCGGTACAGATTGTAAATTTAAAATAATAATTTAATAACGACAATAATGAATAAAATTGTTAAATAATAAATAAACAAATAATAATAAATAAATTTTGTTACTGTTATTTAATCAAATATGACTGAAAAAACATAAAAATATAATAGTATGATTATTAAATTCCTTGTCAATTACATAAAAATTTGTATTACATAAAAATTATATAACATTGGATAATATATAATTCTTTTGATTAGTTTGGGTGTAAAACACTAAGGATAAGGAAGCATAAGCCAACCAGAAAATTCAGACATCAACAAAATGCCCTATTGAATGACCAACAGCTGGAAACTGTAGCTGAGGTGACAGCAACGTGGCAACTGAAATGGGCGAGTAAAGATATCAGAATGGATAACAATTGAATTTCTAAAAGAATAATCATCGATCAAATTAAACTGATGGGTAAGTATCCTAAGGGTCGGGTAAAACATAGATGGGAAATTTATATCAGCTCAAATCATGAGGATTTAGGTTTAAGGAGTATGTAGGCTAGATCTAGCTATATGGGCAGTATTGATTAACCAAGTTAGCTAAATATTTTATTGTTGTTAGTAGTATTGTCCTAAGGAAGGCTAATGCAAAACTTTGTAAATTATATTCTATAAAAATTTAGAAAAATAAATTGTAATAATAAATAAAAACTTAAACAATTATAGAAAATAACTTAATTATTTAGTTTAGTTTATAGATTAAAAAAGTTGGAACCATGTCTTATATCTTAAGTTATAAAAGCCAGTACCTGGAAATATGCTTCAAGTTTGGCTTTACGCAGGGCTGAGTTTGCTTCGGGTATGCTAGCAACTGAATCCCTTTTCTTATCAATTCTTCGTAATGTAGTCAAATCCATCTCTTCGACTAATTCTGCAAGTCTGCGATGATTAAGTATAGCTCTTGAATGCCCTGGGCTATGTGTTACTGCCTAAAATTAATAAAAAATATAAAAATTATAAAACTAATTTACTGATACTTTAAGCAACTAAATTATTGATAATTGATTGAAATGACAAAAAAAAAAAAACATTAGAAATAGTAGCTATTCAATGCCATACATTACATAGGCCTAAAAAAATAATCCTAAAACATGTTTTAGAGCTCATGCGATTACAACCACATCTGAAAACAATAACTGTTATAGCTACTAGCATTCTGAACAATAGAATATAAAATGATCACGCATCACAAAAAAATAATCCTAAAACATGTTTTAGAGCTCATGCGATCACAACCAGCAGATCTGAAAACAATAACTGTTATTGCTACTAGCATTCTGAACAATAGAATATAAAATGACCACGTATCACATTTTCATTGATTTCCGAAATGCATATGATTATCAATCAAGACAAACTTAATGAGGCTGAGCTGAGGGAATTGGGTGTACCCTCAAAGATAATCTGATTGATTGCAATGACTATCAACGAAACTAATTACTTGTCCGAACATAGGGAGATAGGCCTTGTTTGTGTGAAGATATTGCCCCATTGCCAGGCTGAGATGAGTGGTGGGGGCAGATCAGATAAGATCTGAAAGATAAAATTTTCCGTAACAGCTACCGGTAGGACTGGCCCATTCCATCACAGATTTAGCCAGAGACAACAACTGCACCGCAGACTTGAAGGCCCTCAGGTAGTATGATGTCTATGCCAGCATGAAAAGAGTAAGCCACTTTGAACAATTCATATAACCAACCTACCACTTCATCAAAATACAGTCCACTGCATAAATAAGTTGAATGTTGCCTATTTAGAACTCATTAAGAATTATTTGCCTTAATTAAATAAAAATTGGAAAGTTGCTTAAACAGCCCTCTAATTTAATATTATGTTAGAAAAGATAGTTAGAAAATCACAACTCTAAACCAATAATACAATTTACAACAGGCTTGTATAATTTCTAGGTTAAACAGATGATTTTGACATTGTCACTCATTGGTTCGCAACATTGAAACGAAAGAAGCATTGATATCATTGAGTCTTTTCACTTATCTGGGAGGCATTATAAGCATTATAATATGTATTCCTGGAGACGAACAAAAGAATTATCAATGCCAATAAATGTTATTATAGGGTTCAGAGAGATCAAGGACCCTATTTTTATACCAGCATAATATAAAAATAAAAGACTGATTAAACCAGTGCTCAAATATACCTCCACACATGAACCAACGAATAAGGAAAAGCTGTTTTTGAAAGATAGATGTCATCTTGAATTTAATTTTTAAACCATTAAATTTATAATAATTCAATAAAAAAATCATCTTTAATTCAAAATTACATAATAATAATAATAATAATAAAAGGCTTAATGAATCCAAAGGTACGATGCCGACACCACCAATCACTTATTGCACATCTCCTCCACTGGTCGCCATCCAAACCCAGTCCCTTCACATCTGACATTAACCAGTCGGCACAGCAAATATTAACCTTTGAGGAATTCTTTTGTTACTAAGTTCAACAATTTTACAAACCTATTTAATTTGCCACAATGTTATGACCTCAATTAAATTAACTGGATACAGTTCACACAATTTGGTTCGAATATTCTACGCAATACTTTATTTTCAAAAACCTTAGGACATTGCTCATCCCTTAATGTAAGTGGCCACGTTTTACATCCATAAAGAACTGTAGGTAGGATGATGGTTTCATAGATTCTAATTTTCAAGTTGCAGGACAAGAGGCCCGAGCTAAGTAGTTTTGTTACAGAAAAATAATAAGCATTTCCTGCCTTTAGCCTAACCTAAATCTCCCCTTCGATTTTGTTTTTTATAGTTATCGTAGAACCTAGATACCTAAATTTATCTACCTGTTCAAACATATTACCATTAACTTCTCTACATAATAAGCTGAAAATTCCATCCCGATAACAGGATCTGCATAAAAAAAAAAATGGTTCCAGGGAGTAGACAAATTCAAATATCTCGGTTCCATAATAAACTCAGTGAATTACCAACAGTTGGAAATAGACCAGCGTATAACAATCACAAAGAGACTTCTCCCTTCGAAAGGTATTAGAATCCCAAATAATCTTAAATTAAGGGTGTACAATGATATGATAAAGCTAGTTCTAATATATGGTTGTGAGAGGCACTAGACAATAACCACCGCCCTAGAAAACAGTATTGAAAGATTTGAGAGAAAAATCCTCCGCACGATAACTGGATCGAGCTGGGATCAGAGTATTAAAACATGGAAATAAAAACCAATAATGAACTTAAAATAACAGATCAATCAATATCTAATGATATGAAGGCATGGAGTTCAAGATGGGCAGGGCATGTAGTTCGAAGCCTCTAAACGACAATGAATGCCACAATAGTAGACAAAAAGCAGATGGATAGATCAAATCAACAAAGATGCATTCAGATAACTGGATAAAGAAATAGTCCAAAATAGACAGAGATGACGAAGTAGGCTTGTTAAGTTGGCAAAAGATCTACATAGTCTATAAGGCCAACAGAAAAATCACATATGGTACAAAATATTTTTTTTTAAACAATGAATTACCGAATGTTTTTCACAGCCATCTAATGTATTATATTTATGTTTGTTTTTTTTCTAATCATCCATTGAACGATAGTATATTTTAATTATTTATTTGATTATAATAAATAATCAATTGCCAGGAAATATTTGTAGTCCGACATGAGTGCCACTGTTAATGAAGACCACTAAATTTAAATATATTTCATTGTAGGTATTTTTATTTGTTTAAGTAATGGTAAATATAAATAAATTTTAATTTTTATATTGCTGTTATCTATACAATTAAATATTAAATAATATCAATGCTAGCATTTATGAAAACCGCACATGCTTATGTATATAAGAAGCCTGTTATAGCATTGGGCCAAGCTTGGTTGCGTGCTCAGGTTTTGTCAGTTCTCTATAAATAACAAATTATCAAATTCTTTCATATTTCATATTTAACAATTTTTTACATGAGGTTCTAATGTGAAATGATTAATTATTTAAAAAAAAAAAAGTGAAGGTAATTTAGGGAAAGAAATTCTGAAAACCTGGCATTTAAGCCCTGAAAGAGAACATCAATGAGAATAAGACCTACATTATATTAAAAAACGTATAATTTTATACTTATGTAATGAATTTAATCAAAATCGTTAGAGCCGTTTTCAAGAAAATTGTAAAAATGCCATATATTTCATATATAATAGCTAAGTGAAGAATATACTTCTAAATTGTGCAGGCTAGGAAATAAAGCATACTTCGCTCTGATAATTTATTCAGAAGTAGGTTACTACGCAGGACCACTAAGATTAAGTTATATAAGACACTGTAATAACCTATAAATTAGTAAAATATTAATGTTAACTATAACTGTTCCTGAAAAAATTGATGGTTAGGAATTAGGAAGAAAAGTTCTCAAATGGATCTTCAGACCAACATAACAGCCTGGAAGATGCAAAATTAGGACAAACAAGGAAATATACCAGATTTATCAGGAATTGGCAGCATCCATGTTTTTATAAGTTAAATGGCTGGACCATGTCCACAGGATGGATGATACATAAGAGACCAAAAGACTCAATATCTATGATCCAGATGGGGTATGCTTGAGAGGTACACCCAAAACTATGGCAGGACAATGTAAAGAGTAACCTCCATAAGATAAGAATAAATATCAACATGGTAGATGATAGAACACAATGGGAAAGGCTCACATATCTAAGTACTAATCGTTTTTCTTATTAACAATTCATCTTATAGTTTAGTAAACCACAAAATAATTACCTAAAACAAATACCTTAAAATATAAATGATCAGCATGTATTATATCCTTCTGGGTATATTCCATGAATTCACCGTAGTTATTTAATACATCAGGATGTTTTGGTGATAATGCAAGTGCATGTTCAAACAGTTTTTGTGCTCTTTCTATTTTACCCAGTTTAAGCATCTCAAGAGCAGCGTCCAAAGATTGCAAGGCTTCTAATTCATATTCTAAAATAATATATGAATATATTCAAATGCTGAATTAAAATATGATGCTTACATCATTATTATTTTATAATAGAGGCAAATTATAAAAATAATTCAAGGGATAGCCTTGAAAACCATAACTGTTTGGTAAGTACTAAAAATTAAACAAAGGCAGATAAAAACTATAAATAAGAATAGACAGTTGAGCTAAAGTTTGCTGGGATAAATTCTTTCTTATTTCAAGAAATAATACACCGAATGTTCCATCAAATGCATTGATCAATTTTTAGAATAAATTTTCTACTATAAAAAAAAAACCTAAATGTGTCTAGAAAATTATAAAATGAAAACTACAAATATCAGTTCATAAGAACATAAATGACAGCTGGTGTTAAAGTGCTAAGCATAAATAAATAAAAAAAGATTATTTGAAGCAGAGATGTACCTGAAGGGTGTTGATGATTCTTTCTTGTAACTTCGACATCATAATAACGTTCAACATCTTGACTAGGAAACTGCATAAGAAATGCAGATTGAAGCCTAGAGTCACTGAGAGAACTGTGATTTTTATTAACAACAAAAATTGAAGTAAGATTAAAAACTATACACAACAGGACTGCAATAATACTGATAAAAATTGAACTTGTCAAAGCTACTCTACAAAACAGGGCTTTTAATTTAGCAGGTTTAAATCTTGAACTTTTATAAAACTTGATCAAATCTAAATTACCCATTAGTCAAGAAATATTAAGCAAATAAACAATTAAATTAGTAGTCTCAATAAACTCCAATATTTTAATAAAATAGGGTTTTATATTATGACAATAAGAAGACATTATTTGGTTATTGTTAAGAACCAGTTGTCAAAGCCAATTTTGGATGTCATTTCTACAGCAGTATTACACAGTTGAAAAATAATAGACGTTGGGGGCATTTTATTCACTTAATGTGAAACGGCCCAACAAATTACAAACAGTGAAAATCGTTTAAGAATAAAGTATGTGCACTAATCAACCCCTAACCACTCCGAGGTAAGATACTGTGATTTAGTGGTGAGGTGTTTAGTATCAATCTGTTTCAATCGTGATTAAACAGATACAAGGATTACCTTCCATTAGGAGGGAGCAAGTTGTCGTTAAAACCAGCGCTGAGCTGATCGATGTAAGCAGAGTAAAACGAAGCCATCGATAGACTGAGTGCTGAGTTTAGGAATCTACCCAAAACAACTCACTTATAGGATAGTAGTACAGTGGCTTAATGATATTATTAACATCATTATTATTATTAATATTATTAAGCCACTGTAGTTAGTAGTACAGTGGCTTAATAATATTAAGCCATAATAATAATATTAAGCCACTGTAGTTAGTAGTTGGAGACAGCGATCCCGCCGGGAAAAGAAGGAAACACTGAATCTGTTCAATTTAAACAGCTTTCCGAAACAGCTACAGAAGCTGTTTAATTTAAACAAATACAGAAACAAGTTTGATTTAAAGAGCTTCTCGCAGCAGATACAGTAACAGTTCTATTTGTTTATTATTTTTACTAATAAATTTATATAATACCTTTAAAAAATATTATGATTCAAAATTAAATATTTAATGTCACTTTGACTTTTCTCAACAATTATAATTTTTTTTTTCATTAAATTTACATTTAAATTGATAATTACTTTGAAGACACTTAAACTTTTTTTTTTTTGCTTTTCAAATTTCGAAACAGTCATATCAGTTTTTTTGAAATTATGTTTTTTGAAAGCAGCAGATACTGCTGCACCTGCTACTCATGTTAAACAGATTTGTCCATTACTACTGTGATTGTTTACCGGGAGGCAGTGAAACCAGGTTAGTCATGTATTTCTCTTCTAGGCTTATCTATTTTTTCTCCTAAATCCATTAACTTTGACCAGGGCCACAAGTAGATCTAAGGGGAAAGGGCTTTCAGGCTGAAGCCTCCGAAAAAAATGTCAAAAAAGTATCTGTAAAAGTATTATTGTTCGTGTAATATTTTTTTAAACACAACAATAAAATAAAGTTTGATATTTCTTTTCCTTTAAATTATGCAGTCCGTAGAATGTCCCCCTTTGTCCCTCTCTAATTTCTGACCTGTTTGAATTAAATGTTTAGTTTTTATTTAAGTATTATTGTAACCAAAATTAACCTCCTAAAAATGGAAATAAGATGTATTTAATTTTATTTTACTTATAAAATGTTACTTTAGGTGAATAAATTCACTATTACTATGTAATAGAATAAGTTGTCTAGACATAGTAGAAGTTTGGTGCTCCTCTGAGGTTCTGGAGATACGATCCATCGGTTTCATTAATCGCCTTTGTCCTGCCTACTAAGCAATGAACTTGTCTTTAGTTGAAAAAGTTAGCTATTTTATTGGGAAATTTTGTTCTTAAATGGGTGGTAGTTTGTCATCTTGAATAGAGTCTTCTTGCACCAAAGACCGATACTTGTGCCAAAGCCGGACTCTACGGAACCTATCATCTTATCACGTGTAACCTTTTCTTGTCTTTCCGTTACTTCCGCGTTTTATAATTATTTCAATTTTTTTTTGGTACTTACGACTTAGCCGGTCTCCGCGGAACCTCCCTTCTTATCTCTTGTAACCTCTTGTTATCTTTCTTTTACTTGTACGTTATCCAATTGTTTTCAATTTTATTTTTGTTATTTTCTGTTTAAAATGGACATAATAACACTTTGGGAATTGCCATCTTTGGATGAAGAGGTTGCCAAATATTTTCAGAAGTTCGGGATAATTCCGAAGGTGAAATTGTGTGAAGAAGGTGATGAAATGGGGAAACATGCGAGTGTTTCGTGGTAAAAATAAAAGACAGAAAAGCAGCAGCTCTATTAGAATGTATTAAAAATAATATAGAAGATATAACCACTATATTCAAGGTCCCAGGTTCGAATCCTGACTGTACACTAGTAATTTTCCATCAGTTGTGGGTCGACCCTTGTTATGGGTTGTTACCTTTCATGGGTTGTTAGTGGTACAGGTTTTTTTATAACCACTATATATTCCCATTGTTGGAAAGGATACAACTCCCAATAACGACATGAAGCAAACTACAACCATTTCCAGGTGAATCACCGGTATAACTTCATTTGTCCTTTAAGCGGGGTCCATACTCAAAACATTGAACGATTATGAGGCTCAGGTAATTGGAAAAATAAAAAACATGTAGGAACTGCGAGGCAACATTTGAATTCGCATTTGTGTGAATATTGTGGCTGTGGATCTACAGTGGAGAGGATTCGTTCCTCCCCATTTTAAATTGCATTAATCTATTTTATCTCCCAAAATAAATAAAATGTTGTAAAAGTGTTCTTTTTTTCTCTTCTGTTTGCATTACGACCATGTAGATCTGTTGCCGCCTGAACAAGCCTGATTCATCTCTGCCTGTCTTTAGCTATTTCTTTCCATTTATCTGCACGCAGCTCTATTGCATCTTTGTTGATTCTATCTATCCATCTGCTTTTTGGCCAGGTCTCACAGTCACACTAGTGGACACATATACTAGAACAGGCTTTATCATAGCATTGTACACCCTTAGTTTGAGATTTCAATACCTTTGAAAGTGAGAAGGAAGCTATGTTTGCGCTAGTTACACGCTGGTCTATTTCTGCCCGTTGGTCATTCTTTGAGGTTATTGTGGAGCCGAGGTATTTGATTTTTTTTACTATCTGGAATAATTTTCCTTCTATGCAGATCCTGTTATTATGGATCCTCCATTTTCGATTTTACTGTGATGTTGATCTAATTACCTTCTTCTGGGCTAAGTTGAACAACATCGATGATAGTCCATATCCCTGCCGTAAGCCCGTTCGAACTTTTAAGGCTTTGGAAACTCCTCCTTGTATTAGGACTCTACATTTGGGGTCATTTGTCTATTTCGCGGTGGCCGATGATGCTATTAGTAGTCTGGTAATACACTTGATTCGCCTTACATATTCTGTTTGATATTTCGGCGTCTATCTTACCCGAATTACTAATTACGGTCCATAAGTTAGTATATTCATTCACTACCTTAAGTGTCTCGCCTCTGCAGATCAGTTGTACATCTTCCCGTTCTTCCCTCGCCATAACCAGCGCTTTACTCTTGAAGGTGTTAATTTGCATCTCTTTCCTGAGCAACTCTTCTTCCCATTCTACCAAAGCTTGTTGAAGTTTGGTCTTGGTGTCGGCTATTAGGACTATGTCATCCGCGTATAAAAGGCTTTGCACGAGGACAGTTCCCATATTCCATTTCCTAATTGTTGACCACGCAGTTCGGCGCTTACAGATTTTGTGGATTTCATCCATTTCATTTATAAATAGAAGGGGACTTAAGTTATCTCCCTGTCTAACTCCTCTCGCAATTGGAAAAGGTTCCGATTCCATACCATTTATTCTTACCACTGCCATGATTCCTTGGTAGGCTGACTGTATGGCCGCCAGCAAGTCTCCAGGTACACCCTTGGCTATTAGGGCATTCCAAATTTCTTTTCTTGGGACCACATCAAACGCTGCCTTCAGATCAAGGAATGCAAGATACAAATTTTTATCTCTGTCCCAAGCTTTTTCAGTAATATTTCTGAGGACAAAGATGTGATCCTGCGTCTGTCAGCCTAGACGAAAACTAGCCTGTTCCGCTTCTAACTGCCCTTCTACAATCCGTCGGGGTCTCCTTTCTAGAATAGAAATGTAAAGTTTATAGACCACTGAAAGCAAACTAATGGGTCAATAATGTTTGCATCTTTTTTTATAAAGAGGGAGGATTATACAATATTCCCAGTCCCTGGGAATTTTCTTTCTGTCATATACTTCTTGAAACAGCGATCGAAGTGCTTTAAGTTCTTGACAACCATATTTCAAATACTCTGGTGCAATTCCATCCCTTCCTGATGCTTTACCTCTTTTTAGCTTAAGGATTGAATTTTCTATTTCTTCTTCCTCTATAACCTCCAGACTTTCTTGAATATTGGGCTCTTGTTCTTAGCAATGGTCTGTTTCTGGATTTGCAGAGAATTGTTCCATCTGCCAAGGATTTTCCCCTTGTCTGTAAGTATTATTCCGTCGCTACCTTTTACATTTCTAATGGGCTTGCATTGCTTTCCTCTTAACATTTTAACTTTTCGCCCAAATATTCTTATGGATTCGCGGTGGTTCTCGTTCAGCCTTTTACCAAAATCCTCCCACGCCTTCTTCTTGGCTTGGCGTATGGCTACCTTACATTCATTCCTTTCTACTCGGTAGACATGTAGCTTTCCTTCAGTTCTATCTTTAAGGTATGCTTTCCAGGCAAGCTTCTTACGAGAAACCAGTCGTTGGAGGTCATTGGTCCACCAGTCTGTCCACTTTCCCTTACCAGACAATCTCTTCTTCCCAGAAACTGTATTTGCTGTTTCCAGAATACATGTTTTCAGTGCCTTCTATATATCTTCCACATCTCCATCGAATGACGTTTCTCTTAATTAATTTTCCAGACTTTCTGTAAAGAGGGCTTTTGCATGGCCTTTACGTTGAGGGTTTCAATTTTTTTAATTTTCCTTTTATACTCAGGAATGATCTTTGTATCCGCCACAAGTAAAAGATGGTCGCTGCTTATCTCAGCTCCTCTTACTACTTTTATATCAGCAAAATACTGCCTTATGTTCCTATCGCATATGAAATAGTCGATTACACTTTCGTTCCATACATGAGAAAGTGATTTTGTGGGTTCTCTTGTGTGGATAGAAAGAATTTCCTATGACGAAGTCATTGTGTACACAAAAGTCTATTAGTCGCTGTCCATTACTATTCCTCACATTCTCAACTCCTTGCAGCCCTAGAACTCCATACCCAGACCTTTCATCATTTCCTGTTCTGGCATTGAAGTCTCCACTCTGGATTACTGACCTTCCTTTTCCTTTACCTATATCCATTATTTTTTTGCAAATCCGAGTAGAATGCCTCCTTGTCTGCAACACTAGCGTCTTCCGTTGGTGTATACACCTGGATTATGGAGATCTTACCTATGGTCATCTCAAAATCTGCT